ATTTTTGTGGTAAACTACTTAATTACCGTGCCAAATGAATTTTCACTTTTTTTATTTTTTATTATTTTTTAATCCTCCCAAAAAAGATATCCATCACAAAAAAATCACGGCTAACAAATATTAAAATTATGTTACATATTGGGTGCAATGGGAAAAAAAGTACAATAAAAACATTTCGAAATATTTCCCAAGTTTTTTTTTTTTTACCAGTCAAAAAAAACAACAACATATGTTGTAAAAAAAATAAAAAAAACGTTAAGGGTTTTTTTTTTTTAAATTTTCGTTTTTAATTTTGAAAAATCGTATTTGTATAATTTTTTTGAGTAATTTGAGGTGATTACAAAAAAACAACATATGTTTATTGTTGGAATTTTTTTTTNTACAAACTACTAATACTATAACTTTCTTCAGATAAATAACGAATTACCTTTTCCATATAATTTAAACTTTAACTCACCTTTTTTTTTTTTACCAAATCCATAGAGCTATTTTTCAATTGGCGATTTAGAAAGAAGAATTATTTTTTTTTTTTTTTAACTAGTACCGTACCAAAAAATGGAATTGGCATGATAATCAAAATGAAATTTTAAAAAAAAATAATGTTTATTTGGTGTGTTTTCTTTAGCTTTCAACAGTATTCTCATTTTTTTAAATATTAAAATTAAATGTTAAAAAAATAATTATAATAAAAAAAATAAGTGGAAATGGGTGGAGGAGATTGTTTATTATTCAAATGATCTGATATTAGAGAGAAAAGAGTAGTAATTCCACGAAGGTAATCAACACAGAAATTGCTTACATTAATAAAGGTTATTAGGCTTGGTGAACATTATTTCTGGTGGCAAATGTACCATACAGTTAGGATTAAGACGGCTATAACTTTGTATTTTTAAGTTGTAAATTATTCAAAATTAGTGGTTCTCATAATCATTTTGGCAACCACTACTTTAGTTTGTCCCAGCACTACACTGAATCTACTGAGCATTTTAAACCTCCACCCCCTCATGGTACTGCACACTTTGAGATTTAACTGCAATAAATGGGCCTCAGTTTCATAGACTAAATCTAACTTGAACAATATACTTCAATGCCTTATTTAAGCCTAGTTTCGATGTCAAACTTTATCTCTTTATATTTATAATGTTTGAAATGAAAATACTAGTACTAGTATTATTACTAGTCATAATTGCTAAAAGAAATGTTTCTGATGAATATTTACATACCTGGTATCTCTTATGTGTGTGTAGATTGCTAATGGGGAGACGGGGGGGGGGGGGCGGGGGGGGGGGGGGGGGCATCAGGGCTGTGAAAATGTTTGGTATGGTATACCCTGAGAGGTCAGAGCCCTTCCTCTCTCCTCAAACAACATGTTTGGTATGGTATACCCTGAGTGGTAAGAATCCTTCTCTCCCTCAACAATATAAATATTTTTAAAAATCATTTTTAATGGACAAAATAGGCTGGCTTTTTTGTTCCTGCCATTGGGGTAGAGATATGCACTAGAATGAGAATTACCAGTATCAATTATAAAACAGGACAGAGATACCATGCTATTTTTGGGCAACTGTTTACTTTAAATCCATTCCTTGGAAAGTCGGCTGTGTTATTTTGTTCAAGGTTTGAAGTATGTACAGATCATCCAAAATACCTTACATTAACTTCTGTTGATGAATGAGCCTACACCTCTATTCAGCATTTCTCAAAAGCTCATCACTTTGGCAATAAAAGATCTCTTAATCTTTGTAACATATTGCAATACGGTACCATTAATAGCCAAATGATGATATATAAATATATTACCAATATATAAAATATTGACTGATCAAATTGGCATAAATACTTTATGAGTATAAAAGGCAATCAGCAGCCATTTCATGTCAATGAATTAAGTTGATAAAATAAAAATACATAAAATAACCACACAAAAAAATGAAAGACAGGACAACCTCAAATACATTAAAATAATTAAATAACTTTCTTTATCAGACTTGACAAGCTTTTCTTTAGCTCCATAAGTTAATAAATGAAATGTAAAATTGCAATGAAACATCATATTTGTAATACCGGTACCAGTAATGTATATGTAATGTATGATAGGGTAGCATCTGTTTAGTCTAAGGGAGACAATAAGCTTTGGAAAATTGATATTTTAATAGTACCCTGTAAATGGTAAAACAAATACATGGATTGGGGGGGGGGGGGGGGNTATATAATTTACACAGATATATAGTTAAAGTTGTTAACTATGTAAATGTTTGTATTAATGTATGTGTGTGTATATATATATATATATATAATATATATATATATATATATATATATTATATATATATTATATTATATATATATTATATTATATATATATTATATTATGTTAATATTAAATGGCTGACCTCAACTGACTTTCAGGGCTATTGCAAGGGTTACTAAAATAATATAAATTGAAATTTTCAAGATGATTAGATATTAAGCCTAGAAATGCCCTGAAAAATATAAAATCTATTTGAGTTGTAACTCGCACACCTTGGCTTTTCTATTCTATTTATTGTTTCCATGTCTATGCCCAAAGATTGTGAATGATGCTACATATCAGTTGTGTCTACACAGTGGGGTATGCACAAAGATTGTGAATGATGCTACATATCAGTGATGTCTACATGGTGGGGTGGAAGGGGGGTGTGTAATAAAAGCAACAAGCCCCCCCCCCTCGCTTTTGAATTTTGGCTTCCACCACTCAGAGGAGATAAACACCACTGCTACAGATATTTAAGTTATATTATTTAAAAGTCACAAAAGAGAACATACAAGTAAAATGTTATCCTTTGAGATGACCTTCATTTTCAAATGTTATTTTATTTATTTGAAATGATAAAATGAACAAAACAAAAATATGGTAAAAACCTGCCAATGTGAAAGTCAAAAGCAGTTCTGCATAACAATACACATGGCTGATGTACTATACATGAGTTCTATCAAATTATTCTATCGACCTTATTTAAAGTTATTTTTATAGATTTAGAATATGAAAGCTCATACTTCAAGCAAATTAATGTTGATTATGTTGATGTTGTTAATAAAAGGAGACAGAGTAGTTTCTTTAAAAATGTAGTATTTCGGAAGAATGATAAACTTATCACATAGGAGCCAGAATGATCAATTCATTGATCGTGGGCCCTTAAAATAAAGAAGAAGAAGACATCTGTACAGATGTGTAAAATATATTCAATTAAAATATGATTTCCTTCCAACAATTAATTTTCACCACTAAAAAAAACACTTAATTTTTTTTAAAACTAAAAGCCACATTAAAACCCAAAATAGATTTATGACTCCTGAAAATTAAAGTCAAAGTTAATTTCTAAAATATTCAAATTCAAAGTAAAATATTAAATCTCTTTATTTTATTTTCAACTGATTGAAAAAACATTTGAAACTGCGGCACATACCTTAGTGTACCGGTAAGCGTAAACACAACAGATGTTTAAAGATCATTTCTCAAGATTAGAAAAAGGACATGTCAGGACTCAAACATAATAAAAAAATTTATATTAAATTTTATTACTCTCTCATAATAATACGGGGTCGTTCATAAAGGATGTGCACCAAGAGAGGGAGGGGGGATTTTTTCAAATGTGGAAAACTGCTGACATCCCCAAGCTAGCCTTTTATATTATTTGCTGTGTGTATTCCAGTATGTTGAAACATTTTTAATTGCGGACATCCTCGATGGCTCATCTATTTGCGAAAAAATTATAATCTTAAACCACAAGGAAGTTAATAAACACTTCATTAGAGAGATCTCTTTTTAATTTTGGTTGCTATTTATCAACATATGTAAATAATGTGACTTTGGACTTTTAAAAAATGTTCTCTAATTCTCAGGTCTGGTTGACTTTTAACAAATGATTTATATTATCAGAGTTATTAAAAGATTTAAATCTATTGATTATTTGCAATCTATAACTTATTATATTTTCTGGCATTTTTGCACTGTATAATGCCAGGGGGTATTAGCCACATACAGAGAATTGTGGACAAGGGGGAGTGGGGTGAAGAAGATGATTCTTTTTGATGGAGCCCTTTACTTTATAAACAACCCATTGTTGAAAAATGCATTAAATCATTAACTAATATGTATGTAAAAGGATTTAATCCTTTTGAAATTTTAACAATATCATTTGCATTAAATAGAAGACAATTAAATAATAAAATTATGACTTCTCAGTAACAATATTATTTTCAATTAATCATGGGTCCTTGATTTATTTACAAGCAACAGAATTGAATAATGCTGAACAATTAAAATAATGACAACATATGAAGCAACAGATTAATTATTGCTTGCTTAATACAGGACATTAACTAAAACTGGTCTAAGTTTTAATACATGGCGTTGTCAATTCAATATTTGCACCCAAAATTAATTCACTGAAAATATATCACAAGGTTCCTAAATTTGTTTGGTACAATGAGAGTTGAAAAAGACTTTGTCTGATGATTTAAAAGTTGATTACTTCATGTGTAAACTCTGAAAACCCTTCAAAGCTGCATAATTGTCTATACCTGAAGTAGTGTATTGTGACTTTGTATACCTAATGTAAAAAAAATAATTTCTTTATCTTAAACTTTAAACTAAAGTTAAACTTAATCACATTCTCAAAGTGCTTTGATGTACCCCTTATCGTTAACATTTTTTTTATTTTAAAATCAATATGTACTATGTGCTTAAAGGTACTTTACCAATTTATTTCAAAAATAATTTTCCTCACTGTCAATATGGAAGCTTTGACCTATACTTTTGGTCACTGGGTTGTCTCATAATTACAAGATATAATTCCTGGTCATACAAAATAACCAGTGCTTGCAACCATCAAAATAGTATCAAATTAAATTCTAAAATTGTTTCACAAATATTTTGCCGAACCATTAATTAATTGCACCAGAAAGAGATAGAGATGGTGCAATGAAAACATACTCTATCAACACCCCCCCCCCCACCCCCCGTCAAATGATTTTTTATTATATTTTTTTGCTTGCATCTGTCCGTCACAATGTGGCGATGGTGAAGACTTCACAGGACGAAATCTACAAGGCATGGAATTATTCTTCTAGGATTATAAGCTGGTTCTCAACAACAAATCGCCTATTATTACTAAATGAAATATCATTACGAGGTATGTGGACGCTTGAATTTAAGGACAGGACAATAAGATTGCACCATATGCAGGTTTCAAAAAAACATAGAGATGGTGCTATTATTATTATTACCAACAGTACTAACAGAAAAATCATACTGAGGTGACACAATCACATTGGTAGACATGGAATTTTAGTTCACTAGATTAAAACTAAATATTAACACTAACATGGTCACAAATTTGTCAAATAGATACTTTGTCACTATTTTCTTGTGGAAGATTATCATAACTACTTAATGAGGGTCCTCTATAATCAAATTTATCACAACAGTAGCATGCAGGTGGTACAATCACATTGTAAATATGGAATTTTAGGATTCACTAGATTAAAATTCAAAGATTAAAACTATCTTGGTCACAAGTAGATACTTTGTCTTTAGTTTCTTTGTGGAAAATTAACATAACTGCTTAATGGGGGCCCTCTATAATCAATTGTATCACACCAGTAGCTTGCAGGCTGAGGAATTTCCAATAACCATCGTGTGTCTGATACTTTTGACGCAGCCATTTCTTTGTAATAATGGCAGCATTGGTCATTATTGTCATATGGAGGGGCCAAAATATCTAGAAATGCTGCCATTTTTGTTTCTGGGTGAATTTCATGTATATTTCCTTCAGTAGGAGAAAGGATACAACATTCATCACTTTCTGTTAAGATAATGTCTTTATTTCTGTGCACAGTTTTGATATTTTTGTAAAATGATCTTGTTTGTCTGTATTTCATATCAATTTCATCTTCAGATAGTGTTAGCGGTTGTTGATTAACCTCGGTATAGGAAATAATTTTTACTGAACCATGAATAACTTTTAAAAGACCAAACATTTTTGGATGATCATGAAGAGGTAAAACACCACCTGATTTCAAAACAAAGATAGACATCGAAAATGTTCTCTCTTGGTGTAAGTGCATGTAAGTTACAGGTGCAATTTCGTTATCAAATGCTTCGTCGTGCTGTTTAGATAAATCCCTTTTCTCTACTTCACTTGCATCAAACATTACATCTTCTGCTGTAATGTCATTCATGTTACGAGCGAGTGGTGCCAGATGATCTTTAGTGATTTTTTCAGGGGAAAGCCTCCCAAATAATTTAGAGGAAAGGCTAACCAGCTTTTGTATGGGAGCCGCCATATTGTTATTAAACAATAATATTGTCAAATAATCTACACTGCAAAACTCAAAACTGCCTTACTTATATTGACAAAATTATTTTACTTTTTCTTTTTTAATTTAGATGAATTTTTGTTTCAATCACAAAATGCATGAGGTAATATTTTTTTTTAATTTGATTTATATTAGACCTATATAATATAATTAAATAAATGCAGGAAAATGTTATTATATTAGTTTTAGTTTTAGAGTTTTAGTTTTAAACTGTGCACTGGGTCATGAGAGTTTTGTAAAAATGCGAACGCCTGAAACGAAATTCGAAGGAACTAAACCAAGTTCGTAAGACTAAGATAGAAATGGCCAATGTAACATGAAACTATAACTTAGTTTAACACTAAGGTGACCATTCATGCTAATTTTACCAGGACACTACTTGTATTCGGACCGTTGTCATGGCTTGTCTCGATTTGAAACTAGTACAGTTTTAAGTTTAAGACTACAGTACCATTTTTAATCATTTTAATTTATCAAAAATAATTTTAAAATAAATTATACTTATACAAACTTAACAAACTAATAAATTTTAATAAACCCACGCCCACTGTCAATGTCGACTAAAGACTAAAGTAATTTATCAATGATTCAAGGGTGTTCCTAGCACTGAGACTGACAATAATTAAATAACTATCTCCAGTTTCCTTGGCCAAGGCCTTTAAAGTTAGAGAATGAGCTGGTAAGCAGTGTAAAGTTTTTTTTAATAATTTGTAAATTAGGCCTAATTTAAATTTACAAAACTTATGTTCTATCTTATATTCTGTGAACTATGTGATTTAGACTTAAGATTGGTTTGATGGGATAATACAATACAACGTATCACCATATTAAGTGACATTTCATTACTACAAGTGAAAGTGTCATCCGCACAGCTCTTCGAATAATGCAGAGCGTTATCGGCAGACCGAAATCTTCGAATAATGCAGGGCGTTATTGGCACATGGAAATTTTTGAATAATGCAGAGCGTTAACGTCAGATGGAAGTTTTTGCATAATTACGCAAATTTCTAGAAATAATTAGGATCATGTTCGGGGGGTGGGGGTAGTGTTAAGTGGTGTAGGATAGATCGATCTTTAATGAGCATGGCACAAACACATTTTTCAAAACCAAATGAAGTTTCCCTTGCCTCCAAAGGGAGTGGGGAGTAGTCAGTAGCATTTTTCAATACTTTATTTTGACTTACATTTATGTTTACCCAGTTTAGAGAGGTCTTAAAATTTAAAATGATGTCAAAGCTTGATTAGGGTATCATTTAGTTTTTTAAAGCACTATGATATTTCACCTAGTCCAGAGTTGCAGGGACATGCCGTGCGACAGTGTTATGGTGAAGAGAGGTGGCTGCATAAGGCGGCCATGTGAGAGATGGGGATTTTTTATTTAAACGGCAGCGCGTTCGGCTAGCCAAAGGAGGGTCCCAGAGTCTAATCCTGGTGAAGACTAGGATTTTCCCTGCTTCTTGAGGGTGTCCCTGAGTCTACCCTGCTCTGGTGGGTACCTGGCATTAGTTGAGGAAAAGTAAAGGTGGCTGGCCATTGTGCTGGCCACACACTCAGTATGCCATAGCCACAGAAATTTCTAAATGCTGCTTACTTCAATTGCCCCATGGGTAGGCCAACGTGATCTGAAAGGAAACTTTACTTTCCCAAGACTTGCATCATACGAATATACTGTGGGGTTCCAAATAATTTGTTTATGCCTTTTTATATTTAGATCCATAGTTAAAATAGTAACAGTATGGCTTTTTGTTTCAATTCATCGACTTTTTTAACGACATCTAAAATTTTTTATGTCAAAGATATGTGTTCAGTATGTTCATTTCATAGTCTATACAAGCATTATTTAAACTATTTCTGGTACTTTTGTGAACAAAATATTTCCAGTAAGAATGTGAAGCTAAGCACATAAACTTTCAACTAGCTGACCACTCCATGCGCAGAACTTTTTATATCGTTATTGTTTATTGCCGATTTCCGGTCACTTAGACAGAAATTACGCGACCAGCCGCAAATAATGCCAAGCATTATCGGCAGACTGAAATCTTCAAATAACGGCGAGCATTATGCGCAGAGCTGTGCGAATAATCACTTTGTTCCTATAAATAAACTATAATCACATTATGTCATTACTACGGGTACTAGTCTAGCTTAATTTAATTGATGCTTTTGGATAGCTGGGTGAGTGAATAATAATTTTGTATACAACTAATTCTTATTTCACTCTTTACTCTCCTAGGCATACATAATTTGATAATTATTAAATATATTTATGAAATTATTTAGTATTAGCCTTATAGTAGGGCTGAGCCAGGTGCATTTTTTTTTTTTAACACCCAATCCTTGTCAGGGTTTTTGAGAAAATACCTGGCAAATCCAGGTCTGGATGTTACAATTAAACAGCCCCGAAAAACAAAGTGTTTCATGTAAATCCTTAAAAAATGTAATATTAATAGCACGCAATGGGGAGTTAGGCTGACAATTTTACAAAGTCAGTGTTTACCTTGTCCGGCGAACGACAAATAGTGCTGGAGATATTCATCAAGCGAGCATGTCATGCTTTATTTAACATTATCACTTTTAATCATTTGTTCATTATTTATACCAGCAATGGTTCTAGTATTTCTTTAGTATAATTGAACATATTTCTTTTTCATGTACTTGTCCAGACTATCTTGAATTTATTGAAATGAAATAACATTGATTGACTATTAGTGGTCACATGACAAGGCTGACGGACAAATATCTTGCGCAACTTTGTTACGGCGGTTATGTGACTTGGTCGAAAAAAATAATAGCCGGACGAATACATGTAGACACTTCGTTTTTAAAAACATGCATACAAGTAAAGTGCTTTATAAGAATCCCAATAAATGGTCCCCCAAAGGCTCACAACTGCACATATTTTGTACACCCCTTATCTATATTAATATTATAATGACTGCTTTTACACCGCAGATTTATTTTACCCACTATTTCGGAAAAAAACAAAAGAAAATATTACGCATCAAATGCACGTGCAATATTTCTTTTTTAAAGAATCTCTTTTAATGCAGATATCAGGAATTTTATTTCATGAAATTAGTGGCATCATCTTTCCTTCATCTTCCCCTTAAAAAACAGTAAAAATTATTTTTGGGGTTGAGGGGTGGAGCTGAAAATTTTAAAGAATGTGTTGACATCACCAACGAGTCTATGTGCCAAGTTTTAGCTCGATGGTACAATTTATATCATTATGACGATACGATCATAGCCTTCCTTCAACATTAAATTACACTTCTACTGTTGAATTCTATGAAACAACTTAGAGATCCTCCACACACACACTTAAACTTTGGCTACTCCATATTAGCAGTCAGTAAGCTTGTGAATTAAATATTAATTGTAAAAAGTTCCATGATCATAACTAAAGATATGCATCTTGCTAAGACAAAAAAATTACACAAAAATTGCAGTGAGTACAATATTATGTTTTTAGCCTTACCGTTTCATTTAATTCAGTTTTCTATTATTATTTTATTAATTTACATAAATAAACACAAAATTATGTAAAAAAAAAAAAAAAAAAAAAAAAATATTTTTTTTTAAATTTTTTTTTTTTTTTTCCCCCCCATTTGGTGGAACATATAAATTATAAAAAATAAGAGGATGGCTCTTTTTTTTTTTTTAAACACCCAGACATGGTTCTGTGTTTTTTGAGGGTCTGGGTATGTACGCAGATTTTCTGGGTTTACAGATCAGTACCCAGCTCAGCCCTCCCTTAGGCTACTAAGTTTAGATTAGACTAATCTACACTAATTTTTCAATTAGTATGCTGCGAAATGGAATAATGCTATAAAACATGATAATAATCAATAGGCTTAATACAATAAATTGAACTGAGCATTTTGCCATGAGATATAATTTAAAGATGAGGGTGTAAGTCTCACTCTGCAGCCCAAGTACAATTTAAGATTAATATCGATTAGTAATTGAAAAGTGAAGAAAATATTTATTTATTGTGCATTGCTCTGTATCTTTTCCAAGGAACCCATTCAGTCGGTCATCTTCATCATTAAAAAAACAGGTTATATCAAAACCAGTGAGTATTTGATTAATTAAATTGTAGAACTTTCGTAATGAGAATACAGAAGTAATTTGAACATCAAAGTTCACACTCACACACTATTAGCATGTTGATTTACCTCAGTATGCTTAATGTTTCATAGTTTGCACCACCTCGCTATAGACAGTGTTCATATTTCTCATAGATTTTCAAACATTTCACTTACCAATGGTTGAAGCAAGATTCTTGCAAAAGGAGATTATTTTTTCCACGTAATGCAGGCACAGCTCTTCACAGTTGAACACACTCTCCTTTAGCATTTCCCACAAGTAGGCATCAGGTGGCTCACGATCAGAGTAAGACGGGTATGGGAAGTCAGTATGACGTAAAATAATTATTCAATGAAATTTTGTCTGCACCTTGATAATAGCCATATGGCATCCTGAAGCATTGCTTTCCTCATCCTCAATGAAATAGGGGCCTAAAATACCAGTGCTGAAACAGCACGTCATATCATCACATATGTATCACTATCACTTAGTAGCAGTTTCTTGACAATTAATAACTGGCTGCTCAAAACCAAGGAAGCCATTTGTCTGGCGATTTGTGTAGCCATCCAAGTAAATGTGATTTTTACAGAGAACCATACATTCCTAAAAAATATGGATCCTCATATACCATGTGCACAAATGGTGGTACACAATACATAATCCTGACTCACATTTCTGGCTCTGTTGAGCATTGTCCAACCAGTATCAGGTATGGAAATGCGCTATGTCCATGGACAAATGGTGAATGGACGTATCACTGGTGTTCATTTTCAAAGATGCTTGTCATAGACTTGTGGGGCTATGTAAAATCTGCTGCAGAACTCCTCCATGATTCTCATTTGTAGAAACAATTTCTTGCCCACTAGTCTTACCCTTCCGTTGAGACAGTAAACTCCTAAAAAACAGCAAATTTCTATCAATAGATAGCACAACTCTGTTACTTTGTGCAATCTTATTAAATCTCTCTCTTGGTATTGTTTTGTCACCTTTTTAAAACTTGGGCCTCCTTCAAAATAAGTTCCATTTGAGCGAAAATGTGCTCAACTATGAAAATATTTACCTCCTTAGAGTAATCTATTCCCAACACAACTTCCTTGACACCTCAGGAAACAGTGGCATATGGAGCTATTCTCCTTTGAAAAAAGCACATACATATTCAAGGTGCAGCAGTTTCAGCACTGTTAATTTTGGTGCATACAGTATCATTGTAAAATACAATAAATGGTGTCCATGATAGTATAGAAAGCTGAGTCTGGTTGATATATATAGTCCTAATGACAAAGACATTTTGGTTGTAAAATCTAAGGGTATGAGTTGTAGTATGTTCAGCATTCCTTCTGAATGCAAAGAATATATAAAGGAATTAATTTGACTAACTACACTTTAAAATATATTAACTTAATAATCATATAAGCTCCTTGTTCTGTGTTGTTTTCAACCCGTTTTTTTGTTTTGTTAGGAATTAGTTTGGCTTCAAAACACACAAAAACTATTTAACTTTTATTTTATTGTAGTCTCAACGCGAATTTGATGAAGCAGTTGAAAGACTAGATAAGTAAGTACAATCAACAATGCTTATATTTGTAGAAATTGTGTTAAATTTATCCATCAGTCTCTAAAATAATTTTAGATTTTTTGTGTTTCTCATTATTATTAGGTTTATATTTGACATTTTAAAGACTAATTTTAAAATATATTTTGCAAATTATTTATATGTGTATATATATATATATATATATATATATATATATATATATAATATATTTATATATATTTATATATATATATATATAATTTGCAAAAGATATTTATTTAATATATAAATAATTGTATTGTTTCATTTTAATTATATAGATTAGAAGAGTTAACCAGGCGACTTTGTAAAGATGTAAAAAAATTAACAGAGGCTAATAATGGTAAATATAATACTGATGGCTGGTTCTCATATTAAGTATTCATTCATTCAGTTATAGTTTTGATCGTCAAGCTTTTTGTTTCGTTAGGCATACAATAGTACTGTACAATAACTGAAGATAAGATGAACTATATGTTATATTTAAATTAAGATAATATTTTACATTTTATGGTATATTAAACGCAATGAAAATTGCTTAGGTCAAGGCATTAGAGATATTTTAAAACTTTTATTAATATTGTTAACGAGTAATATGTTTTGAAAAGTTAAATTGAAATAAATGTTGTTTGCACTTTTCTGTGGTACAAAGCCTTAGCAAAGTCAGAACATAAGCTTTCTCAAGATCTACTGCAAACCCAACTATGTACGTCAGAAGAAAGCTTCAAAAATTTAATTAAAAAATGGGATGATGAAATGGAAAGAATGGAAAAGAATATGACGGATCGGGTAAGCTTTAACAGTTTTAACTTTATATGTCCTTTTTGTGGTTTTTGTTATGTTTTGTTTTTGCAGGAAATTTGTATGAAGACTTTTACTTCTAGCTTTGCTCACTGTTACTCATCCTGCTTTTAATATGAGAAATTAATCTCCTATTTTAATTTTAATTGGTTCGTTGTAAACAGTGTCTAACAAAGGACGATACCATAGAGTCAACAATATTAAAGATACGACTCTCAAAACAGTTTCTAGTTACAATTAATAAGATTTAATGAGTATTAATGTAATTACAAAAGAAAAGAAAATATAATGACATTCTTTAACTTACAGTATGGTAGATCTTGTACCGGTACACAGTTAACACAGTTCGTATAATGTGCCGATGAATAATGATGAAATGCGAAATAAACACATATATAAGAATACAAAGAACAACACACGTCTCGTGAAGTTAATAAAACCTATCGTAATCTCCGTCTGGATCTCCTCCTCTCCATATCTGTCAATCCCTTATATAGGTGGGTCTACTGACGCGTAAGCCCTGCCTTCCAGAAGCTACTCAGCATTTGTTTACATTTCTAGAACAATCGATAACATTCTACAAAACACTATGAGGCAGTCTTACAAGGGTTAATTGGAAAGGCGGTAGTCAACAAGATACATCAAACGAATAGGCCACGCCCACAACAACCGCTAACGTCTGCTAGGGATCTAATTTGGGTCAAGCAAAATTCAAGCACGGGGGAATCGTGTAATAACGTTATAGATAACACCTTCCCTCTTAAAAGAAAAAAATTTCATTTTTCAAAAATGGAATTCTTTTTCCATTAAAATTTTTAAAAAGTACATTTCTTCCTTTTAAAACATTAGACCAAAAAGCTTCTTAACAGCTTATAAACAATAACATAAGTTTTATGTACAGTGAAAATTAATTTCTGGACAAAGTATCTGCAATGACATGATCTTTGCCTTTAATATGTTTGATGTCCAAATTATATTCTTGTAAAAATAGACTCCATCTTAACAATCTTTGATTTTTGGAGACCATCTTATTCGAAAATGTTAAGGGATTGTGATCAGTAAAACAAGTACTGAATGTAAAGAACAACTGACATAAAAATCAAATTGTTGGAGAGCAAGAATTAAACCTAAACATTCTTTTTCTACAGTGGAATAGTTTTTCTGATGTGAGTTAAATTTCTTTGAGAAATAACAGACAGGATGATCTACACTGTGGTCATCTTCTTGAAAAAGAACTGCACCAATGCCAACATCACTGGCATCTACAGCTAATTTAAACTGTTTGTTAAAGTCTGGTGCAATTAGAACAGGAGCATTAGCAAGTATATTTTTAATGTTTTCGAATGCTTCCTGACAAGCAATGAAATTTTGCATTTTTCTTTAACATATTACTTAAAGGAGAAGCAATAACTGAGAAATTTTTGCAAAATTTTATAGTAACCTGCCATTCCCAAAAATCTCATTAACTGTTTTCTAGTAATGTGTGGTGGAAGTGATACAATAGCATTTATTTTAGCTTGAACAGGCTTTACATGACCTTGACCCACTATGTGACCTAAATATTCCAGTTGCATGACAAAATTCACATTTATTCAAATTTACAGTTACATTTGTCTGCAAAAAGTTTTTAAATAGATATCTTAACTGTTTTACATGATTTGAAAAATCTTGACTGTAAATAATTACATCATCAATATAGGCGCTGCAATTTTCCTGGTCAGCAATAATGTTATTGACTAGACGTTGGAATGTAGCTGGGGCATTTTTCATTCCAAACGGCATTACTTTATAATTGTATAACCCATCTGGAGTACAAAAAGCAGAGATTTCTTTTGCTCTGTCAGATAGAGGAACCTGCCAATAACCTGATAGTTGGTCTATCTTGGTTACATATTTGGCATCACCTATTCGATCTATAAGATCGTCTATCCTTGGAATCGGAAAGAAATCAGAATTTGTCACTGCATTCACTTACCTGAAGTCGGTGCAAAACCTGTAACTTTTGTCAGGCTTTGGGGCTAAAATACATGGAGAACTCCAGTTACTAGAGCTTGGTTCATTGATATCATTTTCAAGCATGTATTTTATTTCAGACCGGATTATTTCAAGTTTTTCCAGATTGACCCTATAGGGGTGTTGCTTGACCGGAACTGCATTGCCAATGTCAACATCATGTACAGCAATGTTGGTTTTATTAGGCACGTCAGGGAAAAGTAAAACAAAATCCGCAATAACATACTTAACAACATTTTTTCTGACAATGACAAATGTCCTAGTTTCTTATCTAAGTTGGCCAGCATTTCTGAATTTTTAAGTTTGTAATTACTAACTTTTTCTGGGACACTATCAAAGGTTTCAGTAACATTTTCTTTAGGTAATGAAGTTACAGTTGAGATTGTGTTAACATTAGGTTCTGAGGATAAACAATGATCATCACATTTTCTATCAACATATTCTTTTAACAAATTAATGTGACATAACTGTTTCTTTCTTTTAAGATCTGGTGTTAACACAATATAATTTAAATCATTAAGTTTGGACTCTACTACATCAGGACCAAAATATCTGGCTTGTAGTGCCTGCCTTAGTATCGGCAAAAGTACAAGCACTTTGCCCCCTGAAGCAAACTGTCTGAATTTTGACTTTTTGTCGTACCAGACTTTCATTTTAGATTGTGCATCTTTTAAATGTGACTTAGCCAAATTAACGGCATTAAAAAGTTTAGATTTAAATTTTAGGACATAGTCAAGAAGTTTTTCCATGGGTGTCGATGACACCACGTGTCTTTTAAAAGTTTAAGGGGACCGCGAACCGTGTGGCCAAACACCAGTTCGAAGGGGCTGAATCCAAGTGATTCTTGAACTGCTTCTCTTGCAGCGAACAGTAGCATGTTGATTCCTTCATCCCAGTCTTTCTCTTGTTCTAGGCAGTACGTTCTCATCATGTTCTTCAACGTCTGATGGAATCGCTCAAGTGCTCCCTGTGACTCAGGATGATATGCACTCAACAAGCGGTGTTCTATGCCCAACTGGTTCATCACTTGTTTGAATATTCCAGCCTTGAAGTTGGTTCCTTGGTCAGACTGTACAGACTTCGAAAGACCAAACAATGTAAAAAACTTCATCAAGGCTTTGACGATGTTCGGAGTCTTGATATTGCGAAGAGCAATAGCTTCTGGGAACCTTGTTGACGCACACATGATTGTCAGCAAGTATTGGTGACCTGATTTTGTCTTTGGCAGAGGTCCAACGCAGTCTATAATCATGCGACTGAAAGGTTCTTTGAATGCTGGTATGGGTTGAAGAGGAGCTGCTGGTATCTTCTGATTTGAGTTCCCTACCACTTGATAAGTATGACATGATCTGCAGTAGTCAACCACATCTTTCTTGATTTTGGGCCAAAAGAAGTGTGATGTGATTTTGTGATATGTTTTGTTTACTCCCAAATGGCCTGAAAGTGGTGAATCATGGGCTAAGTTCAGGACTTCGTTCCGGAATGGTGTAGGAACTACTATTTGATGAACTATCCTGCATTCTTTGTCAGCATTTGCGCCTGGAGGTTGCCATTTTCTCATAAGTATGTCATCTTGAATGTAGTAGCATACAGGGAATTGTTCAGTTTCTTCTTGGGTCAAAGCGTTCTCTCGAAGTTTGACTATTTCTGGATCACTCTTCTGCTCTTCAATAAGTTGCATTCGAGTTGGAGTCTTGTGATTACTTGCCTCTTCGTTTAGATTGGCAAAAATTGTTTTTCCCGGGTCAATTTCAGGATGGATTTTATTCCATTTTTGTGACATCTCTTCTTTGGAGATCTTGGAAGACATGGCCCTTGTCACAGCACATGCTGGATACAATTCTTGATCTTCTTCCTGAATTTCAGTGAAATAAGGTTCATGAGTAACGATGGGCTTGGCTATTACCTTCCCACCAGCTAAGTCATTGCCTAGCAGCAAAGAAATGCCATCCAATGGTAATGTTGGTCGGACACCCACAACCACTGGTCAGGAGACTAAGTCTGATTTCAGATTGATGCTATGTAAAGGTACATCAATGCATCCCAGCTCTACACCTCGTAACAGGATGTTGCTCCCAGTAGCAGTAGATTCAAAGGGAAGGGGAAGTATAACCTCAAGTAGCAAGGACTGTGAAGCACCTGTATCTCGTAAGATTTTGATTGGTCGTAGACTGAAAAAATCACCTGGATATGATACGAATCCTTCTGATATGAAAGGCATGAAGTCTTGTATGACATCAGTAGTTTCTGATGTAGAATTTTGGACCTTGGTAGGTAAACTCTTGTTGGAGTCTTTAGAACATTTGGCTAGGGTAGAGGAAGTAAAACTCTGTGTAGTCATCAAAACTTGCACACAAATCCTCGATGAGATGCCCTCTGGAGGTAGACCTCTTCTTGGAGCAAAAGGATCTTGGCGACAAGCTCATAAAACTCGCAGTCGAAGCAGGACCTTGGCTGGAGTCAGTAAAACTAGCCTTATTGTTCATATTGAAACTCTTTGATGAGTCATGACAAACCTTTTTGAAGTTTGTATGGACATCTGGAGAGCAAAAACTCTTGACTTCTGAAATTGTGTTTCCTAATGTATGACGAGACGTGCAAGCTGAGACTTTGTGTGGTGTACCAGGATGTGTGGTCTTCTCAGTTTTCTTCTTGAGTTTCCAGCACTCATCCCTCTTATGTCCTTCTTTTTTACAGTAGACATGTGTCTTTTTTGCTTGTTTCTTTTGTACCAGGCTTGTATGATTTTTGTGGAGGTTTACTGCAAGTTGATGCTGTTGTCTTAGAGTGCCTGTCATTTTTGGTGTCAAATGGGTTCTTTGAGAGTTGATGTGAGATGGTGAAGTCATCAGCTAACACTGCTGCCGTATGTGCGTCACCTTCGCCACGGTCTGCAATATGTATTCGCACCTCAGTGTTATTTCTCTTTATTTATGTTGGTTTTATATTTTCCAGGCATTTTTAAGAGTCATAAAAAAACATATTTTTGTTTCAGAATGTTTTGCTGGCTCGGAGTGTTTTGGAACCTTTGAAAAAGTAGTGTATTTACAGTGTTTTAATTTTTTTACTTTCATTTTAGTTTATTTTCATCATAAATTAAGTCAAATAAAATTATTTATTTTTTTACAAAAATTTGAATTTTAAATTTAAAAAATTTTTTTTGGTCCTCATAGTATATATAAATACTATTCGTTAAATCACAAAAATCAACACATTTCAGATATGTTGGTATTTTTCCTTATGCTCAAGTTGCAGTGAAAAGACGAGAGCAAAGTTTACAGGTGAATGTATATTATTATATTTATTGATTTTGAGGGCTATTAGTGTTCAATTAGGAGATGCATAAATGTTTGTTTTTTTAAAAGGCAAACCAACCAATGGTTGATAAGAAACTATTTCCATCCTAAAATATTATGGAATTAGTTTTGGGATAACTTTTAAAATCTTATTTACTGGTATGTTAGTTTGAAAGAGAGTTTGATATTAAATCACTTGAATTTTATTATTTGACATTAAGGAGTTTCAAAAGTGCCAAGACAGAGTCAGCAAGTACAAGGAGAGAGATAGAACAGGTCAAAATGTTGTCAAACTTGATGTGGTAAGTTTGATGTAAACATACAGCAAAAGTTCCCCTTTATTATAGTCTCATGCAGCAGTAAATTAAGAGAAAGAGTCCCTTATGACCGTTTTACAACTTAAATGATAGTTTTAGAGTTAGGGCTAAAAAATTTAGCTCTCACATTACTTGGTTATAAATCTTTGTAGAGCACAAAAGCATTTCATGCTGCCCAAGTTGATTTCAATAATCAGAATACAACTTTGATGGAAGACATCCCTAAAATGATAGATGATCGCACTGATTACCTCCAACCATCTCTTGAAGCTGAAATTAAATCACAGGTAAGTATTTTATGGTTGCTTTAATTCCAAGAATGGTTAACTGACCCGTAGTTAGATAATGTCATATGCCTCTATTTTAAAACAGAATTTCTTAATTAAAACATACTTATTTTTAAATACATAAACGTTCTCGTATTTTTAAAAAGATACTTTACTTCTATGCACTTTGTCATAAGTGTGCTCAAGCATTCAATAAATGTTTTTTCTACTGATCATGCAGGTGCAATACACCACAGAAGCTGTAAAAGTGTATGGTGACCTGTCCAATTTAATGAATGGCCATAGAGAACATTCCAAGCATGATTATGCTTCACAGATTCAACAAGCACTGACAGAACTCAGAGCATTGTCTATTACAGCAGATTAAAATCTTATCATACATCTGGATACTGCTTCTAATCAGAATATGATATAATGAATTAATTATTAGAATTAGAACATCAAATTGATGGTGATATGGACGTTGCCTTAACCTAAATGTTTATATTATATATCCTTGAAATTTCTGGGAGTTTTTTTAAATTCTTTGTTGCTAAGTATTTTTCATGCTAAATATGTATTTACATTTAATTTTGCACATGTTTGTAATTTGTATATTGTCAGCACTTTTAAATTATTTCATTATCATTTACTGATTTAGCACTTTAAAAATGGATATTATGAAACACATTTTATATATTTATTTCATTTAGACAGTAAATGCATATAATATTATCATTTATCTATTCCCTTTATTTATTTTATTTGTGGCTGAAATAATGATTATTTTACAACTATCTTTGTCTGATTTGCACACAAACCTTATATTGGCCTTCCATAAAAATGAGTATTTCAATTTCGTGTGCCAAGATTTATGAAATACCTTTACTTCTTTGATGATGATATCTTCCTATACATTGTGAGTTTACACATAAACGAGCAAATACTCAACTATCAGCTAAGTTCAGCTCGCTACTGTAGAAATTAATAGGACTTTAATTACTTGTTTAATGAAAATCATTGGAATTGAAATTAAATGATTTTATTAAATAAGAATTTTAATATTTTATTAGCTCCTTGAATAGTATCAGAATATCATCTGTAATTGTACTTGTAAACTTTTCTACTTAGAAGTCATCCATGTAATACATATGCACTGAGTGGGGTTGTCAATTTTGCATGTGTGTGGTGGGTGGGGGGCTGTCTCGGCAGAAAGTGCATACTCTATGGGGCTGAAACTTGGAGAACAGTGAGCATTACGCAGCAAGTACAGAACTTTATAAACACTTGCCTTAGAAAGATCCTGAACATCAAATGGTCAAACGACATCACCACCAAAGACTTACCACTGGTAATACCAGGAGCCTAATGCTATTGCTGAAGACATAAGGAAAAGATGGAGGAGGATAGGGCACACTCCTCGTAAACCCCCAGATGACATCACCAGACAATTCCCAGAATGGAATCCACAGGGAAACAGAAGAAGGCCTAAGAATGCACTGAGACGCATGCTAGAAGCAGATGCACAAAGTGTGGAATACATCTGGAAAGGAAAGCACAGAACAGAGATAAATGGAAAATTCTTGTAGAGGGCCTATGACCCAGACATGGTAAAAAGCATACATAAATAAGTACGTTGACTAAGAATATGTACAGGTATATAATTTTGTTTAAAATTTTTTAAGTTTGTATATTATTAGTTATGTTAGTGTTAGATTGAGCTATTTGTGTTAAGGATTGGATTGTTCATTGATAATAATCTCTTTAAATTTTAAATAAATATTTTACCGGTATTTATTTGACTGCCACCAGTACAACAATAATGGTCAATGTTATGTAAAAGTTCAAAATCGTTTATTTTATATTAATTCTACTCAATTGTACTTTATTTTTGTTCATCTCTCGAGCTTTTAATTTTAATTCATCATTTTATTATGATTAATTCAGTACCGTAACATGCACTTTGATTATATTGTTTGTATGTATTGTATTGATCCATCCCTGTACAAGTACAAGCCCATGTAGAGCTTTGTCCTGCCTCACCACATCCTTCCTTCCACTCAGAACTGATGCTTTTCTCCTCCATGCTTGGATTCCCAGCTGCTGTAGTTTCCTCTCCACATTATCCACCCATCAAGTTCAAGCTTAGGTTTGCCTTTGACTTGAACCGTTTTCCTGGGGGGGGGGAGTTGGGAGTGCAACACCCATTCTTCCATGCTTGGATTCCCAGCTTCTGTAGTTTGCTCTCCACCTTATCCTCCCATCAAGTTCAAGCTTAGGTTTGCCTTTGACTTGAACCGTTTTCCTGGGGGGGGGGGGAGTTGGTAGTGCACCACCCATTCTTCCTAAATGTCTAGCCCAGCGTAGTCTGCCCTTTTATTTCTTCTACCGGTACTACTAATAGGGTGGAATCCTGATATATACATTATTTGTATTATAAAGCTCTGTCAATATTATTTTACTTTTAACACATTTCCTTTTAATTGCTATTCATTTTATCAAGGTGGATGGCACTTCCAATAAATTCTAAATACCGGTATACCAGTCGGTATACCGGTACTTGTAGTTGTAGGCTAGTACTATTACTTAATAAAAATTGGCAATTTGTATCTGTTTTAAATGCACCAGAACATCCTTACACTTACAGTTTTAGTTTAAATCTTACTTGGATTCAAATGGTTCATTATTTCATTAGGGGTGGCTCTGGCAATTTCACTGTTCTGACAAATGTTATTTGTTGTCAATCATATGTAGTTAATTTTCCATTACATTTGAGGCACTGGGTTCTAGTTCTAGCCAGGTGTAGAATATTTGCATAGAAATAACCTGCCATCAGATCTGTTAGTTATTTAAATATGTAGTTTTTCCACCTCACTTGCATACTGTCACTGTTTTTATTGGTAGTGTTGGCATATAGAATGATAACATTGTTCCAAATTATTATTATTAGTGGTGGTTTTATATGGCGGGGTACTCCAGACTAGGATGGGGCTCAAGGCGCTGTACATATGATTTAACAAATATAATCATGAACTTAAAAATTAACATACCAGTACATTAATTAAATTAAACTTTTTTTTACATGTACTATTTATTACTTCCATCTTTAGTTTAATTAAGACAAGGCGAATCATTTTCAAGTTATCTTATTCAAGTTTGGATTATGCAAGATTAGAAGCATCATTTCATCATTTTAATTTGATCATTTAATTAACAATGATGAACATTCTAATACTAATATATATATATATATCAAAGCATGTTCATATATATGATATACTTTTAAGAGGAAACATTTCTCTGGTGCTGGGCAAGAGATTAATCAGAAAGGTTATGTTTTGAAATGCATGTTCAGGAATGGGAGTATTTGTAGTAATGTAGAGGGCATTAAAGCATGATCATTTCCTGTTTTTATTTTTAAAATCTTTTGAAAATATAGGTACCAGTAATAAGATTAAGATATTTTAAAAGTAAAGCTTAGTTTAAGGTTATATAGTTTCAATGTGTTGTTATTCCAAAGTAGTAATCCAGTACCTTACTAAACAAAGAGTTAAGCAGAAAAAGTAATAGCATGGAACAATTTTATGGATAACCACAGATGAAATAATCATTGGTAAAGTGAAGATGACAAAGCCTGTGTGGTTCTATGGGTATACACTATTTCAATATATAATTTACTTTTTCCTGGGCTTGACATTTGATAGAACAAGTCAGCCATTACCCTGTTGAGTTAAGAATAGATTTTAAAGAATGCCATACCAGTATAACGTTTTCCTTGCAATTTATATTTTCCGCCTATGACCTGTGATGCACCCTCCTTGCCCTACCTAATTTTCTGTTTCGGTTTAATCCTGAAGTGTCAAAGTGTCCTCTTTTTATAGCCATTTTCATTGTTTCTATAGAATAGTAGTTACTATCCTAGTGTCTCATTTGTATTTAATTAGTTTACATGTTTTAATAATTGTAAAGCGCTTAGAGCTTTATGATAAGCGCTATATAAAAATGCCTAAATAAATAAATAATTCTATAGAATAGTAGTTACTATCCTAGTGTCTCATTTGTATTTAATTAGTTTACATGTTTTAATAATTGTAAAGCGCTTAGAGCTTTATGATAAGCGCTATATAAAAATGCCTAAATAAATAAATATTTATTAATACCTTATTAATACATAATGTATTCATTCCTATTCATTGTGCTTTCATCTTTGCTTCCTTTTTTTTTTTTTTTTTTTTTTTTTTTATTTTTTTTTTTTTTTTTTTTTTTTTTTTTTTTTTTTTTTTTTTTTTTTTTTTTTTTTTTTTTATAAATATGTCAGTTTGTCAGAATGTTTTAATACTAATTGAACTCTGCCATACATCAATAAACTGTGACCTTTAGCTATCATCAATAAACTGTGATCTTTAGCTATCTTGAGTACAATACCTAAATTTTTTAACTCTCAAATTAAATTTGGTCTGAATAAAAATCTTCAAATTTAAATCCTCCTAAACACCATAATATTATACACTGCTAAATTGTATATGTCAAGGGTATGAGAATCACTGTTGTTAAATGAACACTGAGTTTGGGTCCCAGAGTTGTGTCATGAGTGTTAGTTGTTATTGTGTCTGAATGATCTTTGGATGACAGGAATGGAATAATAAACGATTGCATGGATTTAAGTTTTAAGGCATGAGATAGAATGAGTGGGGAGGGGGGAAGAGTTGATAAAGGATATAGTCACAAGATGTTCGTAAATGATATCACTAATAGCTCCTTTGTTCTTTGTTTTGGATAGACTTTGTAGTTTTAAGGAAACACTGTAACCAGGTAATCTGCGTGACAGATACATGAAATAATGAAAAACCCTAGTCATTCACAAAGGGTATTCATTGATTTTGATTAGGCAGTGTTGTAGTCCCATCAATAAACATTTCAGAAAAAACTTGAAGATGCTCAACTTGAGTAATTGAGTACCGGGTATTTTAATAGCATACTATAAATACTACAAAGGTCAATTCTTAAATTGTTAGGTAAAGAAGTGATAGAAAGTTTTGCAATTAACTATTTAGGCCAAGAAATATTAATTAAAAATTTGATGTGGACATGCAGCTCTATGAAGGAATGGATGAATCTCTTTTTTTTAATTTATTTTACCAGCGAATCATAAAATAATTTCTGAATCATAAAATAATTTCCGACAAAATTTAAGTCGCTCCACACTACAGATCTGGCATAGATTGTCTATTTCTTACTAGCATCATTAAAACAATGGATTTAAAACCAGAAGGCTTTTGGCAATATTTTTAAAAATTATCAAGGTGGCTAAAGGATAACTACACTTGCATGGTGCAATATCTGAGAAATTTTGTTTTGACTTACACAGGAGTGTGATATCTTACCACAACCTGCCATCCTCACAATATGTCATACTTGTGGGCTGCATTTAACAAATACAAAATCAAAATAACTTAATACTAGGCAAATTTTTAAAAGTAATGAACTTCCAACTTTTATTCATTTTCATATTACTTTAAATTAATAAAACACCAAACAAGATTTTAATTTACATCTTGAAACAAAATAGGACATCTGTCAAACATTGATGTACCCGGTACTGGTAACTGATTAAAATTTCAACTTAAATTCGTTCTTTTAATATTTTTTTCCTTTAAAATTTAAATTGATTTAATATTAGTCTTTGATATTTGTAAGGTTGAACAGTGTAATCAGCAACTAATTGTCCATTTTTCCCATTAACCAATGTGAAGGCTTTTTATGCCATTTCTGGTAATCATCTGTCTGATATTAGAAAATGCTAGCCAAGATATGGTTTTAAGAGACTTTTTGAATGCTTAACTCCTTAAACTGAAAATTATATTTAATTTACTCTTGTGAGTTCAAATTTACCTCCCTGATAAACTTCAAACCTCACTGCACCACTAGTTACATAAATCTTAAAATCTGGAGGAAACAAAATTTTGAAGATTTTTTTCATCATCTCTTTTGGATGTAATTAGTTATCGATTTAAAAGTTATGAAAGCAACAGAAATTTGGATCAGGTGTTGCTGAGGGTGTCAGGTATTATCTCAACCCTTGGAAGTCAGCCTTTGTTTGATATTAGCCATACAGTCACCCACAGAAGAGCTGATATCACTAGTAGTACAACAAAAAATCAAGGTTTACTTTTCATGTTTGTTATTCCTATGTAACATTTCTAGGACTATAAAAAAAATGCATCCATTTTTTTATATTATCAGCAAATTAACATTAGACTTATAGCAAAATATAACAGAACTTTATAAGAAAAAGCATATAAAATATTAAAATGCAAAAAATGGAATAAGGAAATTCCATTAAAATGATTTGTAACTTATGGTTTCTTAACATTTTTTTTTCTTTTTAAGTCGTTGCACAGCTAGCTGCAGCTGAAGTATTTTGAGCTGCTTTTCCATCTCTTCAATGTCTTCATCTTCATCCTCCTCACCCAATGCCTCAACCTCCTCATGATAAGGTTCAGGCACTATAGGGCTTTTCTGCTTCTGATCTTGTACTTCTCTCTGTGTTTCATCTTGTTTATTGGGAAGTGCTAACTGTGGTGTATTTATTTCACTGTTGGCCTGAAATAAAATATATTTATAAATACCTTTCTTTTAAAATTAAAGATTTATATTAATTTGTTTTTTTACTTCTCTCATCTTTAAAAATAATTATATTAATTCAAATAAAAGAATTATTTTAATCACTGTGGATAAATAAATATTTCCCTGCCATTAACATGGCTATTGATCATACTCATCAGTAAACAGAAAGAGCCTGTAGTCAATGAACAATCATGAACAAGTTATTGTTTTAAATGTGTTTAAATATCCTTCTAAAAAAAACATCAATTTAAAATGAAATGCTAATCACTTTGATGCAATAACTTAAAGATTGATCTACCTATACTTTTTTGTAAAACACTTTTTTTTCTAATATGATCTAAATGAAAAATTAATTTTTGTAATAAGGTATCTTAATGTTCTTATTAGATATTAGTTTACTTACCTCAGGATTTTGGATTGGCTTTGCCATGTTTATGTCAACTAAATCTAAGGCTACATTAACAGTAATATCATCATCCACAATAAATAGAGACACAAGAAAGGTGTCTTCACTTTCTTCCTCAATGACAACTTGAGGATGCCTTTCCAACAGTAGTTCAATGTACTGCGTTATCTCTGGACTTTCCCAATTGGGATGCACTGGTTCAACACCTTAAAAAAGTTTATTGCTGTCATTTCATATTTTGTACTTGTACACTTTAATAAATGTAATTTTCTTTTTAAACATGTTTATGGAGACTCAAAAACATTTTTTTTTCTAGATTAACCATGTAAAAAGTACATAATTTTGCTCCAAACAGTTTTTGGTTACAATATTTTGGTTAATATAAACTTTAAACACAATATATAAATTTACCATAAAGTTTGCATTTGAGTAGCCTGACAGGTAAGGCCAAACTTTCAGGAGTCAAGGGCCTTAGTGCATTGGCTTTCTTTTGCTCTATGTTCCCATGATCAATGTATTTTATTAAAACATTTGGACCAAGAATCTATGGAAATAGAGATTTTATTTATTAATCTGAGTGATGGTTTAACAAGTTAGGTTATAATAATTTTAATTTTGTTTTCCACATGAACAGTCTCCACTTACAGTAACCAACCAAGGTCCATCAAATAAAACACAAATTATGCATGCCAGAATTATTTAACAGTAATTTAATTGAGTGTTACGATTAAATCTCATAACATACAACGTATTTAATTACTTTCAGAGGCCTTTTTTGATAAACTAAAGCAAATAAGATTGTAAAAGATAACACCTGGCCTTTAGAAAAAAATACTTGAGAACAAATATAATTGTCTCGTAACGTCTTTAAATTTATGTATTACTAACCTTTTGTACAACACACCTGTACCAATGTCCCATGAACTCACTGGCATAAAGACAGCCAACCACAGGAATGCACACAAATGTAGGATCTATTTTAGCAGCATTCTCCATCAATTGGTCTTGCAGTAATTGCAATTCTTTGATTTCTGTCATAGAACAAAAATTTAAACAAGTTTTTAATTTATGATAATGATAGTATCTTTATTAAACAAAGCTTAACTGTTGGTAAATTTTCCAATAACCAATGGGACTGCACCTGAGCTACATGATTTAGATTTTTTAAATTCTAATTCTCACATACAATTGAAATTGCTTAAATGTTGCATCCTTCCAATTGCTTAAAGAAATCCTTAGCAAGCCTATACCAATAAACAGTGGCTTAATCAAATATAATTTACTTTTAACCCTTATGTTACAAAGCCTTTCTTAATTTCCATTTTTTAGGTTTTTTTTCCATTAAAAACATGAACTCTACCCAGACCCTTGATATCTAGATGAAGCTCTTTGAGTGGGATGTTTCAAAGCATTCCCAAACCACTTCACTTGAATACCCTAAATTGCCCTAAAGGTTTCTCTTCCATTTTCCTAATGACAGTGATCAATTATCTAAATCAGGAGAATGCTAATTTGCAACATTTTTCAGTACCTCATTTCTATAGTAATATGCCCATATGTTTATGAACCAGTAGTGTCCCTTTAATCACATTCAAAAGGGGATACAAATTTTACTCTAAAAACATAAAAATAATTTCAGAACAGGCTTTCCATTTCACTTCCCATGGTTTGTTCTTTGGCAGCCATGCCTGTTAACAATTCATTGTCAAATCTAATTTCTGACAGTGAGATTTCGGATTGTTGCCCTCCATACAATAAAAGCAGCTTCTAAATTCATCAAGGAAAACAAATTAGGAACTTCTAGAGATATTATTCCCAGAAGTTACCAAATCTAAATGATCACTAATTAAGTCACTAAAGGAATTCGTTGATTGCTAATTTCTAGCTAGAAAAAATACTTTAGATGTCTTGTGTTTAAACTTTTATTATTGTAAAATGTTGCCTTGGTTAAAATTTGTATTTATGTAAGTGCTGAAAATGAATATGTAC